GGCAGTGAAAAAACGAACGCAGGTGTAACTTATCTGAAGTTTTATTCAACTTAGAATGGAGTTCATCCGAGCTGGACTTATTTAAGAACAGAATACGCATAAGGGGAGATAATCCATACTTCAGCAAACTACCAAAGAAAATAGGACAAGACACCCCTTCTCTACAGCTGGTCAATTTCTACAATTTAGTATTATTCCCCAAAGGGGATTAACGTTACCTCATGAAAAGAAATGCTTTTATACAATAATGTTATTATGTGAGACATGTTCTCTGCCCCCTCTGATAGAAGAATCCGTCTTTTGTGCCCCTTTTGCAAAAAAAAAAAATAAAATAAATAAATAAAAGAGATTCCTTCCTCACAAAAAACCCCAAAACAAAACAAACAAAAAAACAAAAAAAAAAAACCCTAGATTAGTGATGATCAAATGAGTTCATGTTTTTGAATAGCCGTCAAAATTTGTCGATTATAGATGAATCCCAAGTAACACGAAACGAAGCATTTCATTTCATTAGTCCGCTACGATTCCTCGCTTGTCTGTGTAATTAATTAATAGACAAGACATCAAATAATGATTGACACAAGGTTCTTATTTTTCCAGACTAACACTAGTCTTTCTGACTCAGCTTCCTTTTATTTAAATCATTTTTTTTAAAGAACAGTGCTTTAGTGATGACCATAGACAATAATCCGAGATTTTAATCAGTCTTTAAGATTTTTTTTTTCAAAGCCAATTAGATTTTATACTATTTCAAAAACAGAAAAGAAATAAATGCAACAATCGTGCTTATTATAATTGATTATTTTTCAAAACTAAAATAGCGAAAAATAAGAGACCCGTGTTCCAATTTCCTGTAGCAATTATCATCATTATTTAGGTCAGTGTGTGACACCACTTTTTGGTTTGTCAAGTGAATCTAATATGAAGAGCTGAAAACCCGCTGGAAGCGAGTAATAAAATCGTGAAGAGAAAGAAAGGAAAAGCAAATAAAAGTCATATGATATCAAATATTGAGTGGTCTTGTCTAATGTCGGCCAAACTCTAACATCACTAATTGAAACCTGACTCTACTCACCAAAAAAACCTTAACGACATTTAAAATATTAAGCCACTCTTTCCTTCGTTCTTTTTTTTTTTCATGACAATAAGCGTTTTGGGATCGTTTCACTTTCTTCATTCCAGAGTTTTTATTTTTTTTATTTATTTATTTTTTTAAAGTCAGTTGCATTAAAAAAAAAAGTGTCATGAGGAAGCTGACTGGTTAAAGTATTTGACTGGAAGAAAAGAACTACGATTATCGATACTTTATTTTTGCTAGCTTTTTCTTATACGATTTGGATTTTAAAAATATTATTAGAGTTTGTATAAATGTTGAAACGGCTGCCTGGTTAATGAGGTTCGTTACAATTTTAGTTTTTTATTCATCAGATATGTTTTACGTTGTTTTACGGCATATCAACCTCAATGGGTTATTTAATGCCGACAAAAATTTTATTACTGGTAATGTTTCCCCACAAAAATCTATTTCTGGGAATAAATCTTGAAGAAATCTATAGCTGGTCATATTTTTTTTTCAAATAATCTATATCTGTTTGTATTGCTGGTATTTTTTTAAAAAGTATTGGTGATAATAATTTTTCCTTCAAAAATTATTATCGTAATATGGTGTCTAAGTAGTCCGGCCACTAGAAGTGGTTTACCTACTTTACGACGCTGGCGAGTATTGTAATTTGTTGATGTTATAAAGATTACCATTTCATTTCCAACCTCCGTTTTGGTTATTCCTCATTCAGTAACCTTTTCTAGGTTACAAAAGTTTCTTTTAAAACTAAATAATAATAAGATAATTAACACCAACAATAGCTGTAATATCAATATACTTTAAATTTCAAAAATAATTACACAATAGATGAATTTGTTTTAAGAAACATTATAAAAAAGGCACCGCTCTTGATGAAGTAACTAAAAATAGTAAATTATCTACTATAAAAAATAAAAAGCATCTAGCCTTATAACAAAAACAACACCTCGCCGACGAAATCAAAACTATACCAGAGAGACGGTATTTATGAATTTATGTGACTTCCGACGAAAACAAATGCATAAATAATTATGTAGGGCACACCACCACTGGCGTATCAAGACAGTTGACGCTACAAATCTACAGCAGCAGTTCAAAAATGACATATATAACCAAACATGGAATGTTACCAATTTAAATACGTAACATACTAGTCGAGAACATGAATGTGATAAATATCACCCCGTTAAAAATGTGTTTAAATAGGATAAAAAGCCTTATTATAAAAAAGCCAGAAAAACCAACCTCTTATAACATTAATTATGAGCACGGCCACAATGTACTGACCTGATTTGGAAATTATATATATATATATATATATATATATATATATATATATATATATATATATATATATATATATACAAGTATAGAATTGGTGTAGACGGAATAAAATTCAAATGACCAAAAACGCTATTCTTAAAAGAGTGGTCAAAACAGAGTACAGTAAATATTATTTATTAAAAAATTATAACATAAATATATATGTTATAATTTTTGAATATATATATATATATATATATATATATATATATATATATATATATATATATATATGTGTGTGTATGTGTGCCTATTTAGTTAATGCGTTTGGGCGAGCGTGTATGCGTACAGTTCTCGCACAAGTTTTGAGTTTAACACAGAGGTGCAAGTGATCTAAGGTGATGTCATAGTATATGTATATATATATATATATATATATATATATGAGAGAAAACATACCTTATATAAGGGATCCAACGACATATATAATGAAGTCCTAAAGGACGAAACGCGTCACAAAAAAAACAAAACAACTTTTTCACTTTCTCATCCATTTTTCTCCGACATTGTTCTTGATATATACAAATATATACCATTATCTCATATATATATATATATATATATATATATATATATATATATAAACATTGTGGAAATAAATGAAAATTGCGTGCTGACTCCTGATGAACAACTAGCATTCTCAAAAGATCACTAAAGGCACTCGAATTTTTCAAGCCACGTAAAGTTTTTGGGTTCTTTATGCTGTTAAATGTCCCGTAGAGTATCTCATGATGAACTGATAATGCAACTAACGAGTCATTAGAGGCTCCCTAATATCTCTTAAGGGTTGCAAGTACATATCATTATAAAAGACAGGGGTAATCAGATTGTTAAACGTCCCTTGAACAATCTTATTATGAACAATCAACAATGTTAGTGCGTCATTGGAGGTGTCGAAACGAACTACTCACGAGTGGCTTAAGAGATCATCTATCACTCACTAGGGCTTGGATCTCTCAAGACTTTTTTTTTCTGTTCAAGATCCTCATGTTTTTCAGGCTTCTGTTCTGATTCGGTGCCATTGTTCCGACCAGCGGTCCACTCATCATGCGATTCCAGTCGTGCCAAAGGAAGTCGCTCGTCTCTGGGACACCGGCACCTTTCACATTCTATCGATCGGTTCCTCTAATGTCACCCTGATCAGTTTGGCTTTTCTTCTCTTTCTTTGTAGCCCACAATACCTCCGGTTTTGCTTTCCTTAAGATATAGCAACGAAAAAAGTAGAGAGAACGCGTGTGGTCCTAAAAATATAAATCGAAAAAGAGTTTTTTTTTGTTATTTGAAGAAATCATAGAAGAAGAAGAAGAAGAAGAAGAAGAAGAAGAAGAGTGGGGGAGAAACAAAGGGGATTGGTTTAATGACTCATTTTTTTCCGTGTTTTTTCCTTATTTCTTTTGTTATATTTTTTCCCCAATGAAGTGTTGGTCGCCTGTGCACGTGCATGCTGTGTTTTTTTTTCTCTTTCATTTTTCATACTTTTATGTGTATGCGTATGTGTGAGGTGACAAACCAGTATTTGTGAAGTTGTGTGTGCATGCACATGCGTGCAATCAGAGTGTGAGTTTATACGCATGCGTGAGTCTGTGGTTGTGTTCCGGCGTTCATTCACGTTATGCATATATTTGCGACTTGGAACTTGAATATTTCAGCGTCTTTGTGTCTATATTGAAATGCTTTTTATCTGAGTTATATTTTTTAAAAATCATATCTCTCCAGGACGTAAGCTATCACGGTTCTCCACAGCTTTCTTTTATTTAATATCTGTGAATAGATACATTTTTTAAAAAAAGTTAGTACAATCGTATACGGTTGCTTTTTTCCCGAATTTTAATTCAGAGTTGATGTTTTAGACTGGCAGCCACCAGGGTTCAATCTGATCTGCTATTTAACCCTGGGAGATAAAATATAGATTCATGCCTTTTCTAAGGACATTAATATGAAAATAAATGCGATTTACTAGGATGTAATTTGAACCCGTCACACTGCTTACACTTTTCGCACTAATAAACCTCATGCAAAATTTAGTTCAGCATAAAACCAGATAGGAGGAATACAGGTAGGAAGATTGTGTTGCGCCAATATTCGAATATAGCCAGCAGACGCCACTCGTAAAGGTCTAAACAAGCAAATTTTATTGACTCGATCTGTCACTCGTGTATATTTCATTAAGTAGGAGTCTTGGTTGGTTGATTCATTTTTATGGGTTATCAACCCTTCCCAGTTTATTTAAAGCCAGAAAAATTATTTTTTTAGAATTGATTTAGGTAATACTGTTTTAGTGAGATAAGACTTACTAATTAACCCATAGCTGGGGGTGGGAATAACTGGATATATACCTTTCCCAGGAGTAAGTGTGTAAATAAATATAACGAACCTAACGGATTTATTCAAACGTAGCCCTCCGATTAACAACCCCGAGCCATTATCCATTGCACCATCTGCACATCCAAGCTGACAGAAGGTGGCATTTCCAATCGGTCACCCATCTAAGCACTGACCAGCCTCGACGTTGCTTAACTTCGGTGCTCATACGGGAACCCGGCTTCACGATTAACAACTCCGAGCCATTATCCATTACACCACCCACACATCCAAGCTTACGGCACCTGGTATTTCCAAACGGTCACCCATCTAGGTACTGACCAGCCTCGACGTTGCTTAACTTCGGTGCTCATACGGGAACTCGGCTCCACGATTAACAACTCCGTGCCATTATCCATTACAACATATGCTCATCCAAGCTGACAGCATCTGGTATTTCCAATCGGTCACCCATCTAAGTACTGACCAGGCACGACCTTGCTTAACGTAGATGAAACCGGTCTCAGCATAATGTGGCCATAAGCTCCGAGTAAGAGTGTATTTAAACGAGACGATGTACTGAACTGTAAATGTTCCTATGAGTTGATGGTTGTTATTATGTGCAGCTGTTTAGGTTTATGTGTTTAGGTATTGACGTTTAAAGGTTTTCATTTTTGTGTTCAGATCTTCAAATGATTCTTCTCCGTTACTTGTATGCTCTGATGAGCTTTTTTCCTTCGTGCTCCGACTGCATAAATTTTAGCTTGGTGCTCGATTGGCAGTTAGGTCTCACTGTTTTACTGTTAAACTAACTAGATGCAACTGCCACTTTTGGTCTAATACTTTTATTTCTCGCACTTATCACCTGCTATCCCTTCCGTTTTCTTGATTTCCTGCCAACTACAATCATCAAAAAATTTAAATGAAACGTTAATCTCGATCTTCTGTCCAATTGTTTTGCCCTTTTCTCAATTCCCCCTATACTCAGTCTTCTCATTCACTTTCATACCTTGTAGCCCTCACCCTGCGTACTCGTGACATTACCGCCTTGTTTGGGGTGAACAAAAAAAATGGATACTAACAATCCGGCCCGGATAGAATATGGAGATTTTCAAGACAGAACAAGGTTTGGCCAACAATATTTAGTGAAAGATTAACAGGGCCAAATTTCATTTTACTAACACTGTGACAAGCACATCAAATCTATCTTTTCTTATCCCTTTATTAGCTGACCATACTTCGTCACAAAGACATCGTATGAGATTTTAACAGGATGGCGTTTCCCTTCATTTTCCTACTCATGTGAAAATATTTTTAGATGAAAAAGATCCGAAGACGTGGTCCAGTTGAATGGTTACCTAAGTCACCTGACCTAACCTCTCTTAATTGTTTTTTTTTCCTCTGGAGTCATGCAAAAATTGATCGTCTCCAAATACTGGCCGCGAATTCAAGTCCCCTAAGAGGCAATAATGTCTGATTGTGCATACATCAGTAGAGAATCTTTAAAAGAATCCAAACTTCATATATTAATCGAGTTCAGTAACAGTTCAAGAGTTGAACGCCATCAATTGAAAACTTTATTGGGCAATCGTCTGGGAAATGTATTTGACTTTTATAAATAAAAACAAGGTCATGATAACTCTAAAAAATCAATAATCGATTTGACACTGTATATTTTGAACAGGACCCTCGCTGATAAAAAAAAAACAAAAAAAAACAAAACAAAAAAACATTCATATTTTTCGATTCTAAGAAATGTCGTGGGTAGGGGAAGCTCGAATGAATACTTATCAATAAAAATTAGTCATAAACATTTTCCCTGCTTTATTGGGAGTGAAATAGTTCCCTTTAGTCGTATCATTTATTGTAATTTAATAAATATTTTTGCTCTGGTGCAGGACTTTTGGGGCACCTTCTGTACAGTTTTCTGTTTCTTGTGGCTTTGATTACCCTCGACACGCTTGAAATTCGTTTTCTTTTTTCTGGTTTTCAACCAAATATATCGGACTTCTTGAGATTAGTACCTTAACTAAGCATATTTGTACCAGCTATCTTTGTTCTTTTTGTCCAGGCATTCCAGCCGATATATTCGTTGTCCTAATCATTTTTATCAATGCCTGTGTAATACAACTGATTTATTTATTTAACTTTTTTACGGGTTATCAACCCTTTCTGGGTTATTGCAGCTGAAACATATTTTGGATTGTAAGAATAAATCTTTTGTACAAGTGAATATTGGATTTGAAATAAGAGCTCTAAGTGAATACGTATACAGTCAGTCTTGTGTGGTGTGGGGGGTGCTAATTGTTAATGCGCTTAATATCTATTCGATTCAGCAGTTACTGAAATCTTTGTAGCGCCAAGCGTTAGCACAGATTCCTGTTAACCATTGCTCTACAGAAAGCGTCCATATTAGATATGTTTAAAGTTTAATCAAGAACAGGAGATAAATATAACGAAAATCAGTGAAGGTCGAACTCTCTCCAGAAACAGAGATATTGGAGATGCATTTTCGAACATTTTTTTGTCTAAATGCTCAAATGCGAAAAGGAAATCTTAAACAATTCATTATCTGTTCAGGATATAACAGGAAATAATTTTATAGCCGTTGTCAGTTACGACAATCAAAGTTATATGCTGATGGGTGACGGTTTGTACTAATTTATGTATACCTAAGAAATTATTCGGATTAGCGTCCTTTACCGTATTTCAGCGACATTTCCCAGGTATTTCCTCAGGTGTTTGTCATTCGATAATCTTCAACATTTTCTTCATTCACCAACCAATGTGCAAGATGAAGTTGACTGAAAAGAATAACATGTATAGTTTTAGAGGCTTTAAAGCGTCCAGTAAGCAAAAACTAATAAGACAACACAAGAAAGATAATGCGACCTGTCCGAATAATTTATAAAGTAATACCATATCTGAGAACTCAATTATAAGGATACTAATATGAATAATTACTAGAATATCCATTGCTAAAAGAGTGGAAAAATATTTATCTCTTTCGACCACTCCAAAAACTACCTGACTGCACTTACCACGCTTTATGCTTACAAGGGTCGGATCAAACCAAAAATGGAGTATTGCTGTCATATCTGGGCTGAAGTTATCCAATCCTCCTTTTCCAACTAATACGGATTTTAAAAGCGTCTATGCGACCGTGTAGGTGATTAACTATTTTCCACAATACAACCCTTTTCCCACAGACGAAAGCGTTGCAAACCTCACGCTACTCGAACGATAATTTCTATGGATTTTTTTTAAACGAATTCGCCCCATGTAAGGCAGTAAAGCCACTAAGACATAAGGGTTACTGGGTGTGAGTGAATTAGAAAACAAACTAAAAAACGAGAACAATAGAAGAGTAATCTGATTCTCTCTCTTCCTTCTCTCTTTCATCTTCTAGGCCTTTTCACTAAGATCAAAGTGTAGTATCTGTTTTTATCAGCTTAATCTAATTCTCTCTCTGCACTTCTATCTTTCTTTCCTGTTTGTTTCATTTTCCCACTGAAACTAAGTAATGTCTTTTCCCTTCATTCCACGCGATCAAATCGCGGAATGGACCATTATTTATGAGGTACTGACAGGACGTAACGGTCGTGCTAACGAATGAAGTTGGGAACAAGCATAATTATAACAGGTTATTTCAGACAATATGTTTATATTTCTTTTTTGCTTCTAATTGGCATTTGTGTGCTTTGAAATTCACTTTGTGTGTTTCTCCTTACTGTTGATTTGTGTGTGTGTGTGTGTGTGTGTGTGTGTCTGTATGTTTGTGGGTCTACATACCAATGTGCATCTGTCCGTGCCGGCCTGTATGCAAACTTCATTCGCATTTCGCACCGTGCAAGTGGTTCGTTTTGTTTTATCAACGACGTATAATGGGTTAGTCTCCCCATCGCCTTGTTGCTGTTTCTGTTGTTGCTGAAGTGGAGGTGGGTCGGATGGAAGGCGAATGGGGACAACGTGGGTTAGGGTTAGGGGTTAGGAACTGAAGCAAGGTTTGAACGAACCTGTGAAAAGATAGGAAAGGGAAAGTCGCCTTTGCTAGCAGGTCCCATCTCGGTGATTGTGCGTCCGTTCGTGCGTCTCGTAATGTGTATTTGTGTACAAGTTAAAGGGTGGAGAAGGGTGTGCGCGCACGTCCGTATAGATGCGCACGGGTGTGAGTTTCAAATTGTGTGCCTGAAAGCGTTCATGAATTCTGTGACAGAGTAAGGAAAAAAAAAAAGAAGGCAGATGTGGGTGCATGGAGGGTGTCCCGTGTAAAATTGAGCGCGTCTATACGAGATATGCATATATGAGAATTTTATATATGGAGCTTATGCGAGCGTGCCTTTGTTTTCTGGGGGTTGGTTGAGGCGGATTACGCATGCGCGCCAATACTTGCCTTTGAGATCGGTCATTGGTGTGCATGCTATAATGGACCCATATCTGTGGACACTTTGTTATCGTCCATGAATATGTTCAAACGATATATTGCACATTACAATGCTGCTTGTCTGAGTGTGAATGCAATGGTTTTTATTAGGTTTAGCGTGTGTACCTCCGAAAAGTAAGTCTATGATGAAACGCATGCGCAGTTATGTGCTTATATATTTGAAGCAGGTGTGTGACTTTTTGCGCTTTTTCTTTTCTCTGTGCTGTTGTGTATGGAACTGAAGGGGTTCTTTTCAAATGAATATTCTGGCAGACCATATCAATTCTTACCAACTTTGACAATTTGGCAATGACGATTTTCATTTCTTTTTCTTAAGTTGGTCGTCATGCCGATGAAGTATTTCTGAAAGCTTCCATAGTAGTTGATCACTTTTGGCAGACTGCCAGATTTTCTTATAAACTATTCTGTTTGCTTAAGCACACCAAAAACTATAAGAAAATAACAGAGAACTGTTATTTTCTTATAGTTTTTGGTGTGCTTTTTGCTGATATGGATCGCAAACAAGATTTAAAAAAAAAGTATCATGATTCCTTGGAGTCCTTTTGTATCTTGTAAACTCAAATAGGATCGTCCCAGAGACGCACCTACTGCATCTATAACTAAAGTAGCAATGCTATGCCTTCGCCTAAAACAGTTAGCCAAGTAAAGCTAAAAAAAAAAATACAGTCTGTCTTACAATTTAATCCAGAACTAACTGGAGGAGAACCTTTTCAAGAGCATACACGTAAAGAGAACAAAGCCTCGACCTGAATTTGAGCTCGGATTTTTGATTCTATTTTCCGTGTCGATAACCATTACGTCGATCAACCCGCTTAAATTTATATTAGGGGTGTGAAAAAGCTCCCAGTGGAAATTGAATAGACAGTCGAAAACCACATTTAAAACGGAAATAGCAAGCGGTAGAAGGTTTTGTACGTTCCTGAAATATATCAATTTCATTACACAAAAGACTTATAGTAAGAATCTGATAGGGAATTTAATATCAAAGCAATAGGACGATTTCGACAGTATAAAAGATTGGATCATTTCGATAGTTTAAAAATTGGATCATTTCAACAGATAATAAAATTGGATCATTTCGATAAATAAAAAATAGGTCTGTTTCGAAAGATAAAATATAACTCTTTCGAGATAAAAAAAAACCCCAAACTTCTAGAGTTAAGAAAAGAGGTAATTTTTGATAGAGAGTTAAACAAAATTTACAATTAAGAAAATAGGACCATTTCGACAGTTAAGGAAACAGGACCATATTGGCAATTAAGAAAATAGGACCATTTTGACAGTTAAGGAAACAGGACCATATTGGCAATTAAGAAAATAGGACCATTTAGACAGTTAAGGAAACAGGACCATATTGGCAATTAAGAAAATAGGACCATTTTGACAGTTAAGGAAACAGGACCATATTGGCAATTAAGAAAATAGGACCATTTTGACAGTTAAGGAAACAGGACCATATTGGCAATTAAGAAAATAGGACCATTTTGACAGTTAAGGAAACAGGACCATATTGGCAATTAAGAAAATAGGACCATTTTGACAGTTAAGGAAACAGTACCATATTGGCAATTAAGAAAATAGGACCATTTTGACAGTTAAGGAAACAAGACCATATTGGCAATTAAGAAAATAGGACCATTTTGACAGTTAAGGAAACAGGACCATATTGGCAATTAAGAAAATAGGACCATTTCGACAGTTAAGGAAACAGGACCATGTTGGCTATTAAGAAAATAGGACCATTTCGAGAGTTAAGGAAACAAGACCATATTGGCAATTAAGAAAATAGGACCATTTCGACAGTTAAGGAAACAGGACCATATTGACAATTAAGAAAATAGGACCATTTCGACAGTTAAGGAAACAGGACCATGTTGGCAATTAAGAAAATAGGACCATTTCTACAGTTTAAGAAAATTGGTTCATTTCGGCATTTAAGAAATAAGGTAACCTGTTTTGTGCATAAAGTATGCACTTTATTACAACTAAATACCTAACATTTTATTAAAATATTATTCAAAGCATTAAGCAGAAATATATTTCAAATGTCTGTTTATTTATATCTGCTTTACATGAAGTCGGAAGAGACAAGAGATACGTGTTTATTGTTGTGTCTGATGTGGTTAAGCGATCATTTGAAATATCTAAACGTGTGTCACAGCGAAGAAGCGTCGCAATTAAATAATTACGTAAACAGGAACATACACAAACGCACATGAACAGAGAGACAGACACATCGAAGGGCGGATCAATAAGTCTGTAGACGCACAGGGATTAGCTGTATTATCTCTCTTAGATTCTTTTTCTTTTTTACTTTCATTTTGAACTTTCTTGATGAAAAGAGTCCTTTTTAGTTTTTCTGACAGATTATGTATCATTTTAAATATGGGTGTAGTTTGCCCGAGTTACACACACACACACACACACACACGTTCGCTCGCACGTAGATATACACACACACAGTTTTGTTTTTCATATTTGTTTCGGTCATTCCATTATCTATCTATCTATCTATCTATCTATCTATCTATCTATCTATCTATCTATCTATCTATCTATCTATCAGTCTTTTTCTTTCTTTCATTATTTCTTTCTCTCTATCTATCTATATCAGTTTTTCTTTCTTTCTTTCTATCTATCTTTCTATCCATCTCAGTCTGTTCATATCTATCTATCTATCTATCTATCTATCTATCTATCTATCTATCTATCTATCTATCTATCTAGCATCATATAATACCCGATATCGAATAAACTCTATATGCATAGAGAATGGGTGTATATATCTGGGCTTTATACACGTCCAATCTTCTTGTTAGTTTGTGCCCACGTATGTGTATGTGTGTATATATGTGCGTGTGTGTGTGTGTGTGTGTACCTTCGTCGCTTGAGTTCATCTCATATCCTTTTCCTTGTAATTCGTCTCTTTCGATTTTATTTCCTTCCCACCCCTCTCTTTAGTTCCTTTAGCTCTCTCTTTACTCCCCCCTCCGCAAACCCAGCCACCTTCCCCCACTTCTGTTCCTCTCCACCCGATCCATTTCACTTCCCCTCTCCCTTACAAAAAGAGAGCGTTGTTCTTCTGTCTGGAAAGCTGAAGAGATGAGGGTAGACAGAGAAGATTTGAAGAACCCGGAATAGGAGAGTAAGGAGAATAGGTAACGGAGAGCAGGAAGGGAGTGCAGCAAGAAAGCGAGCAGGAAGAAGCAGCTTCGTTTGGCGAGGCTGCGAGACGCATTGTTATTTACACTCTGTGCCCTGCATGCCGCTTTCTTGTCTTGGTCGTCTCCTCTTCCTCCCACTCTCCCCCCCCACTCGCCACTCCCCGTATCTTCCACTCTGCGCTGTCGTTGTTGATGTCGTCTCTCGGTCGGTCTCACTGTCGCAATCAGTGGACAGTGACTGGTGTCGCTTGTCGTGCTTTAACGACAATTAAGTGGCGGAGGCGGGGAGCTCGTTTGTGTACACACTAAGACAGTGCTTTTCCTACAGTTCTGGCTGTCAATGAAACAAACAGAGAAAAGAGACACACACGGGTCGAGAGATGGGTGTGCATTTGGAGGGGGAATATAGATATACACAGTAATCACTGTAGTGTGAATACTATGTTAAGTAATACATATAATGACTTGTACGGTACGCTTCAAGACAGATCTATCAGAGAAAGGTCTGTCACACGTGTCACACACGCTGTCATGTCCTATCTATCTGTCTGTCTGTATCTGTATCTATCTATCTATCTATCTATCTGTCTGTCTGTCTATCTATATCTATCTATCTATCTGTCTGTCTGTCTATCTGTCATTCATCTATCTATCTATCTATCTATCTATTCATCTGTCTGTCTGTTCATCTATTCATCTATCTGTCTGTCTGTCTGTCTGTCTGTCTGTCTATCTATCTGTCTGTCTGTCTGTCTATCTGTCTGTCTGTCTGTCTGTCTGTCTGTCTATCTATCTGTCTGTCTGTCTGTCATTCATATCTGTCTGTCTGTCTGTCTGTCTGTCTGTCTATCTATCTATCTATCTATCTATCTATCTATCTATCATCATATAATACCCGATATCGAATAAACTCTCTATGCATATAGAATGGGTGTATATATATTAAATTTTGGTCCCATCAAAATTCCTTCTTTCAGCCTTGATTACAGCAGCACAAATTTTTGGCATTCGTTGCAAAAGTTCCTGAAATTATAAGTTTGATAATTGATTCCATTCTTTTTTTCAATGACTCCAAGAGATGTTTTTTTAAATCTTCTGTCAAGTTCATTCCATGCTAATTTGTGGTTGACTTCAAAATTTTGAAACTATATATATATATATATATATATATATATATATATATATATATATATATCAGAAACCTCAGAAAAAGGAGACGTAACATCTTTCACGAGCTTACATTCAAAGACAGATCAATAGCAGATAGATAGATAGATAGATAACCAGAAGCAAAAACAGGCAGAGAGACAAAAACGTGGGAGGGTGAAGAAGAGATTGAGGGAGTGCTTTTTTATAGATGGAGAGATTGATTTATAGAGATATGTAAAATGTAAGTTACAAAAAAGAGGAAGAAAAAGAAATTGATAGAAATATAAAATGTGAAAGGCTAATACCTTTTGTTTTTAAGTCAATTTGCCTATCTATCTATCTATCTATCTATCTATCTATTAATTCAGTCTGTACATATCTATCTATCAGAGAATATAAGAAAAAGTGAGAGAGATATAGAAAGAGATTGGCAATATCAAATTCACTTTCTATATCTATTTTTATCTATATCCTACTTTGATATATATATATATATATATATATGTATGTATAGACAGACAGACAGAGACAGAAAGAGGGAGAGAGAGCAAGAGAGAGTGAGAGAGAGAGGGAGAGAAACTAGAGAATGTAAAATACAAAAAAATATTCAGAAATTGTGTAGAAATAGTAAATGCTCTTCTTTGATAAAAGGGACTAAGGATAAAATCTTCCAAACAGTAGCCACTAAAACAAGAATGGGTCAGTGATACAACCTGATATCAGCAGCGAGAACGGAGGTCAAAGGTATGAAACTAAATGTCTAAGAAAAGACTACGTGTGACATTTCGTATCATGTAGCGATATGCGATAAATAGGAAAAACTGAGAACACACACACACACACACACACACACACACACACACACACACACATCTATACCGGGTGTAACAGCAAAATTGTCCAAATCGTATAAAGGCATGGGATAATTGTCCATCCCACAAAATGTTTAATATCTAAAAAACACTAAACTGAGTTTCTTTTTCCCAGGTTTTAAGATGTATAAATAAGACGTTTAAGCCATCTTGACACCATTTATTGTAAAAATAACTGAGAAATGTTTTGAGTTATATGGCTAAAAAGAGAACAAGTTAATATCGTTTTGTTTCAGCCCCACTATGCCTTCCCAACTGAGCAATAGAGAGAGGAAAAGATCATTCAGGCCTTTACTAATGGTAAATTCATACTCTGGCTTCCATCTTCAAAATCAATACGAGAACGACCAAGAGAACAGTTAATACGTTTAAAAAAGAGGGAAGAGTAGAGAGGAAAACTGCATCAGGAGGATCATAACAGCAAGAGGGATCATCATTTTAACTTAGAGCTAATTGCATTCTTATTGTTCAAAGCAGAGTTCAGTAGTGTTATAAAAATCTCGGAGAATTCCAGTAAGATATCTTTAATCATTTCTAAGATATAACGATTCAAAACTTAATCTAACAAATGAACAATTTTGTTGTTACACGATTTGGACAATTTTACTGTTACGCCCTATATATATATATATATATATATATATATATATATATATATATATATATATATATATATATATATATATATATATAAGAGCAGTGTAGATATAGAAAATCAACATTGTAATGGTGACATGCAGTTTCCAGTCTTAAGCGATCATGTGTCCTCTCTTGGGACACGAAGGATTTTGATAAGTGGGTGGGCGGGAAATTAGTTTTTCCTTATTTTTTTTGTTTTTTTTTCGTTTGCTTTTGGACTAATATTTTTAGATTATTTATTTTTCTGGCCTTGAGTTTGTTTTAGTTTAATTATTTACATTCAGACTATTGTCCTCATCTTTGTCGTTGTTATCATAACGTTTCGAGCTTGTGCCTCCGGCCTTCATCAGATGCTTGTCACTCAGGGTAACCTTCATCGAATTTCGAATTCTAAGTCTGCTTTCCGCTGTCTATGTCTAGGAGTATCTCGTTCTTGTTAAATTTTTTTTTAGTACTACTCAATTTTTGGTCGCTCTATTTCCACCGAGTCTTAGTCTATGCTACCTGGCCCAGGGATTGAACTCACAATTACTATGTCAGTAAATTTACAAATCAACGCTTTAATCTACTAAGTTATTGTCCCGCGGGAAACAATATTTTAAACATGACGAGCAATAACTGAATAGAAATAAATGAAAACTAGACGCGAAATCCCTAGACATGATCAGCGGAACGAAAACAGTTTACCCCCCGTAGATTATATGAAAATAATGAGTTCAGTTTGAAATTTATTCAAGGACCTGATGAAGACTTAAGAGAGAAATGGTCGAAACGTTGTGATAATAACAATAAAACAGAAGACAATAGTCTGAGTGTAAATAATAATATCCTCATCCCAGAATAAACATGAAACGTCGATGAAGACAACAGTCTGAACAATGTAAATAAAGTACTTACAATAAGTTATCTCAGAAATATAGAGAGATGTTCACCTTCAGTGTTTCCGAACTTTTACACATCTGGCCGAAGGGATTCTTTTATTTTTTGGTCTTTTAATAATTGAGAGAAGAGATTAATGTCATCTCATTTCTAATTCTTGATTCTACAATAGTTTTCATTCCGTTTAAAAATTTGGCTTTTTAATGATTACGCAACCACATCATTTGATTTCTTCTGAGGTGAAGGAGATTTAACATTTCTTATTACAACTCAAGGACTTTCATAAACTTTTAATGGCCTTTTCAGCCTTTACAATCATTTATAACCTTTTATGCATTTTAATAGGCTTTATAACATTTATAACTTTTTACTGACCTATAAATGACCTATAAATGACTTATTAATGCGACTTTATAACGTTTACATTTTAATCATCTTATAACCTCTCAATGAGCTTTGTACTTTTTTAATAACCTTTTATATTATGTATCGGTCGTAGATTAGAATTATGGGTTCTAAATAGTTTTTTTTAAATCCTGAGATTAAGTACTTTAAGTATTTACATATTTTTATTTTGGTCTGCAGATTATTGATAGCAGATGATAATCGACATAGTCAATTACAACGGCATAGATAAACCAATTCTAGTTAGCTGAATACGGCAGTTGTTAGTAGGAGTTGCAACGGCTCGTACCGAAACTTACTTACAATGTAAGTGTGAAAGCAATTGAAAAACAGCATGTTTGGTGAATGCAATTCTTCATATCACATCGCTTGCCGCGTGGGGTAAGGCAGAAAGGAATGGAGGAAACGAGTTAATAGAGTTCGTGTTCACTCGAAAGCAAGAAAGAATGGAAGAATAAGAATAACAAGATAGAGAATAAGAATAACAAGAATGAGAATAAGAATGAGAATAAGAATAAGAATGAAAAAGAGTAAGAATAAGAATAATAAGAAGAATAAAAAGAAAAAGAATAAGAATGATAAAAAGAATAAGCATAACAAGAATGATAAGAATAAGATGAATAATAATAATAATAATAATAATAATAATAATAATAATAAGAAGAAGAAGAAGAAGAAAAGAAGCCTTCATCATTATTTTTTTAACCGATATATTCCTTAACCTTCCTCAAATGATTGATGGATTGGATTCTGTGGGCCACAGAAGTCATTGGGTGCATGTTCTTTTCTTTTTTTTCACCTCCTCGGCTAAGGTACTGCAGTTATACGACTAACACGAGACCTTATTATGAGTCGAGACAAGTAGAGATCGTGCGCCTCTTGGTATAGCTAGACATATTCAGGCGGGTGGGGGAGGAGGAGAAAGAGAGAGAGGGGAGGGAGAGAGAGAGGGGGGGAGAGAGGGGGAGAGGGAGAGGCCCAAGCCTATTGCGTATGCTTCTTTCTACGTACTGAAAAATGGTAACAGAATGACATCATTTGATGTCCTCTGAGTTGGAGATTTCGTTGTTGCCTCTTTCCACTTAACTTGCGTTGTGATGCGATCAGAGTTGTCAGAAGTTAAAGCACACACTCAAAAGCGCGCGCACACACACACACACATACAGTCACGCACACGGTAACACACGCACACACACACACACACACACACACAGAGGAGTGAGATTAGAAGAAGAAGAAGAAGAAGAAGAAGAAGAAGAAGAAGAAGAAGAAGAAATTGTTGTATTTTTAATGACAGTTTGAACAACGACGAAGTTCGAGGAACAATTCAAACAAAATGGACACTTATACTTAACACCAGCAAGAGACAGTTGGATTTTTAGGACACATAACGAGGAAAGAGGACTTGGAAAATCTGATACTCACAGGGCAGATTGAGACAAAGGAAAGCAATGCATAACCTATCAGGTGAGCTTCAGTGAATGGATGACAGAACGGGGATTAGGAGAGATAGCAACAAGATAAAATTTATTAAGAGCTACAGAGGACTGGAAATTGCTGAAGGCCATGATCGCCAACGTCTTGACAGGACGCAGCACATAGAAGAAGAAGAAGAAGAAAAAGAATCTGGAACAGAGAGAAAGAAGGAAAACAAAAGTATAAGAGAGAGAGAGAGAGAGAGAGAGAGAGAGAGAGAGAGAGGGAACAATAGCGAGAGAGAGAAAGAGAGGGGAGATAGAATGTGGATAGCATAATGTTGAAAGAAAAAGAGGAGTGGGAAAAACAAAGAAAGACAGAGGGAGAGAGAGAGAGAGAAGGGACGATAGAGAGAGAGAGAGAGAGAGTGAAGGATAGCAAGAGAGAGAGAGAGAGGAGATAAAATGTGGATAGCATAATGTCGAGAGAAAAAGAGGAGTGGAAAAAACAGAGAAAGGCACAGAGAGAGTAAAGGAACGATAGCGCGCGTGCGAGAGAGAGAGAGAGAGAGAGAGAGAGAGAGAGAGAGAGAGAGAGTAGAGAAATGCAAAAAGAAATCAAAAAGGAGAGAGAGAGAAAATGAAAATCATGAAAATGCATAAAAGAAACAGATGATGAAGAAAGACCTTTTTTCATCTATTCTGGCGCAATTACACCTGGCGACACTTAATTGACATACTTCTCTTGAACTTTTCTGAAGGAAATTTTTCTCGAACTAAAAATCCGTTTCCTTCTACAACAATTCTTTAAACAAACGATAACAGACAAAAGTGTTTTGGCCATAGAAGTTTTTTTTTGTTCTGGTTTTAGTCTTAGCACCGGTTTCTTATTTTGCCAAAAAACCACTGTTTGTCTTCTGTTGACATGCAAAACCAATTTTTCATCACCTGTAACATGCGATGCAAAAACGTAAGGCTATCATTCCCGGTTAAAAGACTGCAGCAGATGGTGAAATGTTGTATTCTGTTCTCAAGCGGAAGCTCAAGAGAGATTCAAATTCCCTCTTTGTAAGTTTTTCCAATTAAACTCTGAAATGCACTATAAACAGTACATATTTCCTGATAGAGGAGACGATAAACTAATTCTAGACGCAATTTCCTACCATTCAACGTTAGTTCTGCCTTAGTTGACTGGCTCATAATTCATATACGGTGGAATACGTAATTATGAACACCCTTATATATATATATATATATATATATATATATATATATATATATATATATATATATATATATATATATATATATATATGTGCGTTTAGGAGGTCTGTTATCTCAAGAACCAATTGCCCGGGTTTAAGTTAGCAACAAATCATAGAAGACCTTACTGTGAATACTTGAAGAGGAACTCCCCGTGGGGTTATTCAATCGGCATCGAGATGCCAAGAAGTGAGTTCGTGCACTGTGTGTTCGTTGCAGTCACGATTACCGAGCAAGTAAATTCCTCGGGCCTCTTGCAAGACACTTGACAAAACGTCATCTCCACAACACCCCACAACCAACAATCAAAATTTGACTCCATGAGACTATTGGTCTTACCCCAAAATAAAATAACTGTTTCAACACTGTGGATGAGATTAAGGTTAATGTGATTCCGAAAGACGATTTTTTAAAATAAGAAACTTTTTTTTAAATGAAAGGGACAATTCGATGAAAGTGAGATCCCACGCGGAATACTTGAAAGAAGTAAAAAGCACCATTGCCTTTGTTAGGATATTATTGGAATTTATCCAAACTTTCAACTCACATCAATCATTTTAAGGAGTATGAGATTTGATTGAATGATTTGTTTTGTTAACGGCTTATCAACCTTTTGCAGGTTATTTAAAGCCAGAAAATATTTTTGATTGTAAGTGGATTTGCCAAGGTTATATACTCGACTGGAATTGGAACTCGGCTCTCCGATTTCAAATTCCTTGCCTTATCCATTTCACCACCCGCACATCCAAGTTTTCAGGAAATGAGCAAAAGGGAAATGAAGGAAAGAAAATTTAAAGTTCCCGATCTCGCTAATTAATGAACGAAATGAAAACACTTTTGGTTTTATTTCCTTCGGATATTTTGGCGGAAGATGATTCGCAGGTTAGAAAAGATGATTGATAAATCCAATAGGTATAACATGCCTTTCTCTAACACTCTAATTCCCACCTCTCTCTCTCTCTCTCTCTTTGTCTGTATGTCTGTCTCTCTCTATATAAAACAAGAAGATCCTAAGAGAGTCCTCTATAAAAGCAAACCGGAGGAAGAAAGCCCAGTGCCATATTAAATGGCAGTGCATTAGTATATTTAAAATTAGATTTCCAGTGAGCAGTGACTTAAAGTTTCACACGTTTTCACACATATATTTTATATATATATATATATATATATATATATATATATATATATATATATATATATATATATATATATATATACTGGGTTATATAGCCTTGGATGGCAACTGGTCTAATAGAAGGACAACTCTGAATCTCAAAACCTTCGGAGGGTCGTTTGGGGATCTTGTGACACACGGTGCACCTGGCCTCTGTATTCGGCTCTTCAAAAATTGTGGTTGGCTCTGCACAAAGCCTTCACCATTTTAATCAAATCATATGTGTAGGTCTCTGACTATCGGTTCCTATAAACTGAGTTGCTTAACCCTCATACGTCGAATACCATGGGAGAATCCACTATACACACACACACACACACACACACACACACACACACACACACACACATATATATATATATATATATATATAGATATCATAAAAAGGCTTAGAACACCAATATTCCATGGTTATAATTTATTACATTACTACAATTTGTAGGTCTGATGAATTGGATCGTAATTAAGATTCCAATGTAATAAATTATAACCATGGAATATTAGTGTTTAAGCCTTTTTTATTATATTCTACTCTGTCCTGGACGTTGAGTTCTACCTGGATTCTATCCTCTTGGAAATTTTTATATGTATATATGTATTGTTAAATTCCCAGATGAATTCTGTGGACAAGATAGATTGGTATCAAATGACAATTGGAAAAAAAATCTTACATTTTGACGACGCGTTTCGTCTTCCGACTTTTTCAAGGCAAAAATGAAATCGAAATGTTATATTGTCGACATGGGAAAAAAAAATAATAACCCCTTACTATAAAAGTAATTTACATTAACCAGAAAAAAGGCTTAGACAGAAGCGTCTATCTTTTTAAATTTGGATTTTCAATGTAACTATAACAACAAAAACATTTCGATTTCATTTTTGCCTTGAAAGAGTCGGAAGACGAAACGCGTCGGCAAAATGTAAGATTTTTTCCAATTGTCATTTGATACCATATATATGTATGTGTATTTGTGTATACACACACACACACACACACACACACGCACACACACACACACACACACATATATATATATATATATATTATTAGAAATTTATTGAGGATACATTACGGGACAAAGACATTTCTCAAATCCTCCCACGATCATCATGTTATTCTCCGTCTTGCCTCAAAAGCAAACCCATCTATTTCCTCTTTTCACTTTCCGTCTGTTTTGTTTTTTTGCCTCAATTGGGTATATTTTAACCAACCTTTTAATTCATCTGTTATCCTTTCTTTTTGTGCAGTTCGTTGCTGAAAAAGATAAAATTGTTCTGAGAGTAACGATTTATGAATTATTTGTAGTTAAAAAAAAAAAAATGAAAGAAATGTGATGGAAAGACAATTTAATCCAAGCTTCTCAAATTCAATACAGAAATATTTCCATAGATCTAGTTTAGGTGATAAAGAAATATTTTTCTTTATTGCAAATAGTTTGAATAATTATTCGTTATAGTAAAATCAATTCTAAAATAAAAATATCTATAATGCATCGATCGGGTGAAATTGGCCGTTTTCATTTAAACTGATCGATTTTAAAAAATCAACATTTTTGTTATTGTGAGATTCTTGGTTTTGTTGTGAAAGAACTCTTGTAGCATTCATTTTTAAAAAATTTAAAATTTTAATGCACATTTCGTACATACCATTAATGGCATCGATCTGACTACTAAGTCATTTACAAGATTCACTGTTCGCTTCTGAATAACATCGTCTGTAAAATGGTCGTCCTTTTTACTTCATTTTCTTTTTCTTTTCTCAAATTTCTTTTCATTTATCTTCTTTTTTTTTTCTTCATCCAACTTCACTTTCTTCTCATCCTTCTTGCGTTGATTTTTATTACATTTTTTTTTAATAAATATTTCCTAATGTTTGAAAAACGTTCAGGACATAGCCCCCTCCTCGCAGACACAATTGCGAAACAAATATTCAGGATTTCATTTAAAGAGAGATTTCTCAGAAGAGTGATTTTCGAATATTTGATCTTATAGAACCTTGGCGAAGCAATTATAATATTGCAAGTTGTTTTGAAGTGTGACATATTTCGTTTGAAACATCTACTTAGCTTGTCATTTTGTGTGTGTTTTTTTTTTTTTAGTTACCTTGCTTGCCTTCTTCGCCATTTACCAATTCTTTGTTTTCCATCCTGTTTATTCGCTCTGCATCAAAGGATCACTATCCATATTTTTTTATTGTGAAAATGACACACTTCAGTTGGATCTAATTTCGCTTTTTTTTCGGGAAGGTACGACGTGTATGTTGTCCATTTTAGATGTCATTGGGGGATAAATACTTGCGCCATTCATGGTAACAATGGTATTTTTTCATGGAATGTCGTTTCTTCTGTTTCCCCGGTATGCGTTAGTTAATAAGCCAGTCTCGCGAGACTTTTGCGAGTGACGTGAGATTTCCATTGAGTACTCGACCAGTCTGGCTGTGTGTCAAACTAAACTAATTCAATACAGGCTCGTGTCTATTATTATTATTATTATTATTATTATTAGTAGTAGTAGTAGTGGTGGTAGCAGTAGTAGTAGGAAGTGTCAAGTAAAGAGATGTAACTCTTGGGGATTTGATGAAATCATCATAGTGGTGGTGATAATGGCTTCAGACCTACTACTGCCGCTGCTACTACTACTACTACTACTACTACTACTACTTATTATTATTATTATTATTATTATTATATAAAATTTTCTATCACAAGTATCTGGTGAGTTTCATTGGAGATCAAGTGACAGCATGTCTTCACAACGCCACAGCACCTTCCTCGGTACTGTTGATGAGTTTAGTAATGCAGTCACTTTGATAGTTTCGATGCTACCTCTGATTTACATTCGTTCTCAAGTATTTGCAAGGTGGTCAAAGATTGGGACAAAGTGACAGCAAGTCTCTCCAATACTCTACCGTTCACTTACAGGGCGTCTCTCAATTTTCAATAATGCCCTTGCCCAAATAATTTTCATTTTTTCCCAAAATTTCTTCCAAGACTTTTGCAAACTTCTATTTTTATTGAATGTTCGAAGAAAGTAAACCTTTCCAAAACAGAAAAATTATCTTTTGGAATTGGTACATACCCTGATTCCATCATAAAAATTCATAATCTGAAATTACTAAATTCTAAACACTTCACATATCTCGGTGTATAGATTGGCTATAAGAGATTTAGTATAGAAAATAAGGAATTTGAAGATAGAATCGGCTGTGATAGGCTTACTTTTACCCAACATCATAAAATACGTTACAGATCCCAAATATT